CCTCCCAAAGTGAATTTTTTCCATTATTTTGGACATTCAGTGGACCACTAGTGAGCCATTTCTGTCTCTGAATTTCCTCTTCTTGATTCTCAGCGGTGTCTTTGTATTATTTCTATGATAATTTTCCTCCTCTCCAGCTTCCCTGTTCCCTCTGCATCTCTTGATAGTCAGATATTGAATCTCTTGGGTTGATCCTCCAATTTTGTTATCATTCTCTCTCATTTTCCATATTTTTTTTGTTTTACTTCCTGGTATTTTTTTCACCTTGATCTTCTATCCTTTATCATGAGTTTTTCGTATGATCTCACTTTTGGTTTTTGAAAGCATTCCCTTAACGTTGCTTTTGCATTCTGTGTTTTCTCTGCTCTCCTCTCCCACCCTCCCTACCGCTCACCCGTGGTGTTTTGATTTATTTTCTACAGGCTTTCTTCGAAAACCTGGTGATCATTAGCTGTGTGCTCAGATATTTTTATTTCTTTTTGTGTAAAATATGTGTAACATAATATTTATCGTTTGACTCTTTTAAATGTACAATTCAGTTGCACTAAGTATATTCATAGTGTTTTGCAGCCATCCGCACCATTCATTTCTAGAACTTTTTCATCTGAAACCCTATCTATTCAACAAAAATTCTTCATTGCTGCCTGCCTCCAGACCCTAGTAACCACCACTCTGTTTTCTGTCTCTATGAGTTTGCCTGTTCTAGGTACCTCATGCAAGTGAAACTGTACAGTATTTGTGTTTTTGTGTTTGGCGTATTTCCCTTAGCGTGTCTTCAGGGTTCATCCATGTTGTAGCATGTGTCAGAATCTTTTCCCTTTGGAAGGCTGAGTAATGTTCGATTGCGTGTATATGCCACGCATTGTTTATCTCGTCATCTGTTCATGGGCATTTGTGTTGCTTCCACCTTTTGGCTACTGTGAATAATGCTGCTGTGAACATTGACATACAGGTATCTGTTTCAGTCCCCCCTTTCCATTCTTGGGGGTATATACCTAAACATGGAATTACTGGGTCATATGGTAATTCTGTGTTTAACTTTTTGAGGAAAAACTTTGCTATTTTCCATAGCAGAGCCACCATTTGACATTCCTGCCAGCAGTGCACAAGGGTTTCACTTTCTCCACATCCTTGCCAACGCTTGTGATTTTTCAGGTTTTGTTTGTTTTATAGTAGCCATCCTAATGGGTGTCAAGTGGTACCTTGTTGTAGTTTTGATTCCTGTTTCCCTTATAAAGAGTGATGCTGTCTGTCTGCGTGTGTTTTAAAGCTTATACACAAGAAACCTGATTGCTAGGGCTGTGTGTGGAGTGGGGACCCTGTGGTTGATGACTGATTGCCTTCCCGGAGAATGATCAGCCAGGACCCATGATTGTATTAAGGGATCCCTGGATGTCAGTGTCTGTGGGTCTTTCTTGTCAGCCGGTCAGCTTTCTTTTCATAAAAAGAACTTTCTAGTTTCCTGCCAAGGGCTATAAATTTGGTCTAACTGTTTTGGAAGCTGTGTGGAGGCAGCGGGCCAGTGATTGTACCTTTCAGCATATATAGAATTTCATTTAAAACACTGTTTTGGGAGGTTGCCCCAGCCTATCCACATGTGTGCCTGTGTGCCCAGTGTCCCTGGGCTCAGGACTACTCTGGTTTAATTTCTATAAAAGATAAACTTTTTTTTTTTTTTTTCTGGCTGTGGAAGGTTCAGTGGTCTGGCTGCATGGGATGTGAGAGGATTCTTGAAGTGTTTCACAAGTGGACGTGGAAGCTGTGCTGTCTTCCTCCTTCCCTGTACCTCACAGGTGCCTTGTACTGCCATTTGTTCCACCTTCCCAGCACTCTGTTGAGGGCATCAGCTTGCATTATAGGTGCTCCCCCTTGCGAGCTGTTGGTTGCTGTTTTCTGTGCTGTACT